AACACTAGGTATGTTGAAATCCATAAAATTTCCCATTACTGCTTCAGAATTTATTGTGCACATATGGAAAATAATACTTGTAAAAGAGAAAGGGGTTTGTGCCTGGTGCTGTCAATACTGTGAAGGATGGGGTGATTATAAAGCAAATTAACAATACTTTTAAATGTGCATTCACTTATCTTTCCAATTAAATCCTTGTTAAACAACTGCACAGACAGTAATGGTGCTTCTGCAAAGCACTGATCAAGACAATTTTATTGTAATTTTTACTCTGTAACAATTAATCAAGTAGGCATTTTCTTTATTATTAAATTATTTAGTTAATAAATATTCACAATCAGTTCACGTATGTCTGGTTTAAATTTTAGTTTTAATTTTTCTTAAACTGAATTATATTGCACTATATTCTTATAGAAACTACAACAGAAATATTTTAATTCTTTTCACCAAACTGGTTTTTGTTAACTCGAGGTGATGTCAGGGTAGGATTAAATTCACCTTTTTTCCCTAATGTAGATACCAATTGAGACATCTTTGGCTGTCCTTTTCCATGTTCCATAAGAAATGTACCTCTCTGCAATAATGTAATATTTCACCTCTGTAAAAAATTCATGTTTCCTCCCCTCTTTGGTACATAGTGTAGTAACCAAGCCATAAAAACACAGTAATTGACCTTTGGATGGTACACGGTATTTTGTAGTTAACACACAAGGTATTCCAAATGAAATAATGGGATGCAAAGGTCACCTGTACAGCAAATACCAAATATTTTGCAAACAAAGCATCAGATATAAAGACAGTTAGGAAGTCTCTTGTTTTATGTATGAACCAACACTTACTGAATGAACCAATAAGCATTGAAATTTGTATTTCTATGGTTAGTTTCCCTGAACCTATATGCATTAGGGTAGAATCCTAGTGTTTCAGCAACATGTTATGAACCCTTTATAGCCCCATTTTTTTTTTCAGTTAATTTACTACTCATGAAAATTGTTTGGCTGACAGTTGTAGAAATCAAATGCTACCTAGCTGATGAGCACAGGAGGCATAAAGAAGTAAGCTCCTACCTCATCACCCAGGTATCCTTGGTCTTGAAGCACAAAAGACAACTGAGGTTTTGCTGGGACAAGCAAACACAAGCAGGACAGGGAACCCATAGTATTTAACACAAAGATCCTTACCCCATTATAACATACGATGCATCAAGACAATAGGTTTGACCAGAGCAGGGAAGCACATCACAAATTCACACTCAAGGCTGAAGAGTCCTCCCTTTTTTTGTTTTTCTTTCTCAGACACTTTTTGCCTTACTATTAGCATTTTTGATCAGGTCAGAAGCTTGGTTTAAAAAGCATCTCTCGCTTGTTCCCACTTACATATAGTGGTGCCTTAATGACCCTGAACAGTTTCACTTGTGATCCCTCCACACCTGCCCATGGTCTCGAGGCCCATATCAACCCCACCCTGGGGCTTTGGGCCGAAACAATTGATCTTTTTATTAGGATCTGTCATATTCTGGCACTGCCAGCACACTTTACATGGCTTAACAGACCCATTTATAGAATATTATCCCTTTTCCTACAGATGTGAATTAAAAGAATATCCTTATAAATATCTGTAAAGACTTTAACTTACTGGATCTTGTTTAAAATCAGCTAAAGTCCTCCAGATTTTTCATAAAATCCCTAAAGAACTGCCAAGTACCAAAAATGATTTTTTTTCTTTTTTTTTCTTTAAGATTACAGCCATTAAGACTTAACCAAAATATGAAAAGCATAAGAAGAATGGACATCCTTGTCTAATGTCTCTGCCTATTATAGAAGCCTTTATCGTAGATTCTCAGCCAGAAATATTGAATGACTGGTAGCTTAGTTTCTAAAACCAGATTTCTTTCAGTGCTCGTAGACTAAGAAAAGTATGAATTTCCTGATGTCAGTTTGGTCCAAACTGCTTCTGCTGCCTTGATTCAGTGATTTGAAAAACGATGACTTAGAGTTTCGAAAGTGCTGAGAGATGTTATAGCCTGGTCCTCTTATGGTCAGCTGATCTTTTCAGCTCTTAATGGGAAAATAAATCATAGATAAAAGATAATCCTGTTGCACAGAAGCAAAAAAGGTGTGATATCAATAGACTTTTATAGAAAAAGAAAACTCTGTGAAAGGGATAAAGTAAATAAGGTAGTTTGTTCTGCTGATGCTCATGTTGGCAAGGTCAAAGCCCTCTTCAGGAGCTGCCTGCCTCAAGAAATGAGAAGGAAACACAAAGTGTAATCAGAGAATTTTAAAAGATAGAAGGCATGTTTTTTTAATTGTAAACCCATCCTCACCCCAAAAAATCTAGAATTTCTAGGGTCTTTTTTACTCTTCTTATTTCCTCTTTAATGATGAAGCTGTCAACTGTTAGTTTGTTTTCCTTTCATATTCACCAGTTCTATCTTATTTAATTTTCAATGCTGCAGATGACTTTAACTGTGTAGGAAAAGGAGCCAAATAAAGCTTTGCTATATTCTAATTAATGATTATTCTAATAAAAAATACATTGATATGGCAGCCAGCCTAGACTCTCTTCTATGATCTTTAATTTTTCAGCATGATACATATTATTTATATCTTATAAATGTAGGTGTAACACAATGGCAAAGCAAGCAGGAAGAAAGAGCCCACTAAGTATTTGACCTGTAGAGGAACTGATTGCACAGTCAGTCTCTATAATGTAAATAGGCTTTTTCAGAACATTTATTTGCATTTATAATTAACTTAAACTTTAACTATAATAAAAAAAAAAAAAACACCTCTATGGGAAAATCATATATATAAATAATGCTTTCCCACTGTTAACTACAGAAAAAAATGAAGGTATAGGGATTGAATCTAGGAGGTCACAATAACTACCAAGTGAAAAATTGATGCCTGGCCAATGTGTTATTAAACATCATCCTGCTGCAGAGTTTTAGAGGACTGGTAAATAAGCAAATTGGGAGCACATACTGGTTTTCCAAGTAACTTTTGTGACTTTATGTCTGAAACTACTCCTATCATCTTCAGTATCTAATTGACAGGGGACAACAGGCCTTTGGGGACATCAGATAGAGACTGTTGTTGCCCTCCTGAGCAGACATTAAATAAATCCCGTTCACCCCATCTCCCCACGGTGTTTTTTGCCAGTAAGCTGTGCCTCAATGGGCTGTCCGTTGGTCACTCAATAGGTGTCAGAGTGGCTTTACTGTACTACTAACTTCATCTTTGTATGTTCATTTTTTTCAGTAGTATAAACCAGAAGAAAAAGGTGCCTGTTACCTGTGCGCTGCAAAAAGCCAGCTTAGACTTCTGTCTAGCTTTACAGTACAAGCCCATCTGTTTTAGGTGGAAACTCCAGCAGTAATGTTAACCTCAAGTACTTTAAACTTTGGATGCCATGAGACATAATAGACAGGACCATTATTTTTATGGCACATTTTTTCCGGAGCAAAGATCCCAGGCAGGGAAGAAGGACAGAAAATCCTGGTTTTAACTCTCTCTTTCCAAACAAAATACAGTGTATGGTCATTTGAAAGCCAAAGACTACATTATTGACATGCAAATACCCAACAACTATAAATCTAAGGGAACCCAAGTAATGAGTCAAAACCATGAGGCTGATGAGTTATTCAGTCTCACTGAATTTACTGGCATAAATACTGATTCCTCGCAAACCAGAGTTCATCCTCCAGTTTCAGCTGAAGGCAAGACTGATCTGGAGCATTTGAGGAGGTGGCAAACATCTACTGCTCCCCTGAAACCTTCCCTGGAGATGTAAATGGAGGCCTGAAGGTGGGAATATTTTTATGTCTCCCATACCTCTCATTTCATAAGAATTTTTGAATCAAAAGTCTTAGTATACATATAGTACAAAACTAATTGAGGAAGTTGTTCTTCAACAGCTATCATTTCCAAAAAACACATACAATACATAATATTTAGCAGTTCTGGTAATAGTCTCCAGGTAACTTTTAAAAGATTTAATTAAAAGTAGAAGAAAATGTTGCAGCAGCTTTGCATTCATAGTTGATTAATTCAAAAGTGTATAAAGTCTATAATGCAATTTAAGATTTGGGATTTTTCCTAGTTTCTGAGAAGCTTTCATTTTGTTTTCTGACCAAGTACTATCAGGAGGTTCACTTTCATCGATGATATTTGCTAAGTATTAAATGTGGGGACATTTAGTCTTTGCCAAGAGTAGTAAACTGCTTGGAGAGGTGAATGTATTTGTCATGCATCCTAATTAGCTACCAATATTGCCTTCCACACCTGTAACAGTATCTATTGATCAATGTTATAAATTCATTCAGGCCACATCTGTGAAAAACGTTCTTTTGTATTTGTGGAGATATATTCATTATATGTGGAATCTGTGCAAATATATTCAGTAAATATGTACAGGTTGGTTCTAATTCTAGTTCTCATGTCCTCAAAATATTGATCTTTCCTCTTCTCTCTTCTTGGGGTCAATTCTTTGCCTTTTCAAAATCAGTGGTAAATCTTCAACTGGCTTTGACAGAGCCACGACTCTACTTTTAGTATTTCCTTTTCAGTTCTTTTCAGCACCTTTTGCTGGTTTCTTTTGGATCCCTGTTCTACTTTTGGTTTTGTTTAGCTTTCGACATCCAAACAATCTGCTATTTTTCCTTTTAATCTTTTTTTTTCCTCACTTTCGTTCTTTAGTTCCTACATATGCTTTGTTTTCTGCCACCTTATTTCATATATCCATTTCCTTTTTTTTTCTTTTTTTTTTTGTTTCTCATCTTGTGTTTAACTACTATTTTCCTCTGCTTACTCTGCTGTTTTTTCTCTCTCCTAGTTGACATTTCCCTCTGTGCAATATCTTTCTACCTTCCCTTTCCTCTCTTTTCCAAAACACGGCTCATCATTCTATGTCACTAATGTATAGCAGATTCTGAAATACTGTCATCTGAGACAGTTAAGTACTAAACAAAACATTACCAGGGTGGAGGAATCACTTACCCTGATTGACAACAAATCGTAACTTCTGTATTGTTGCCAGATTGCCGCTAACTCTGTATATTCCATCAACATCTAGACCTGAAAGAGAAACACATATTTCATTTTAGATCATATAAGTATTTTTCTTTGTACGTCTGTCAGGAAGCCAGAAGCACCCTAACAAGTATGAAGAAGAGCAATGTAGTGAGCGACTGAAAAATAATCCACCTGACAGCAACTGAAGTGCCTTCTGCCTGATTAAAACACCAATGAAAAATAAAAGTGGTAGATTAACTTAAGTGAATACAAAACACCTAACTATAATTATCTTGTAATTCTGTCAGCGGAATACGGTTCTGCAAGGGTATTTGAGTGTGTTGGGAAAGGAAGAGTGAATTAGCTCTCGTGCTTATAGAGAAGGGCTATTTGAGATATGCAAGATGCTACACAAGCCCTGCTTAAAAACAGGGTGTTTACATTAATAGAGCTGGGGAAACTTCTCAGTCTCGGGACTGGGTTTTTCAGGTGTAAGTTTCTGAGGCTCTGACCTTTCTGAAAATAAAGGGGTGAGATGCCCACTCTGCAATCATGATGTGAGTGAGGCTACACACAACTACCGTTTCTCTACTACATTCTTCATAGCAGATCAGACAAGTTTGAAGATGAAATTAAATATCCCAAATAGCATATGCCCTGGAGTACAGTTCTTCATTAATATAGGCCATTCTTTTCAAGGACAACCTGACAGTCTTGTTTCTCCCTGCATATCTACTCAAGGTTTATCTTCTAGGTGAAACTAGATGTCATACTCCCTTTTGTGACATATTATCTCCTACAGCAAGCTCTGCTGATATGACTGTTTAAAATAGCACTTCCAGCCCTGGTTGCATAGCTGTAGCATTTCAAAGCACATGGGAACTGCTCTTCTTTCCCTGGAGAATTAGCTATTGTGCAACAACGACCAAATCTGCATGCTTAAAAATTGAAAACACTAAACTGTACATTGTCATTTCACATTTAAAACTTGTAAGTACATAAGAAGCAAAGAGAATCTACACAAACCAGGTTTTTTTAAGGCTACTCATCACTTGGAACACAAGTTTCAATTAGCTCTTGGCAAGCAATTTCAGAGAAAGCCTTTCTCTTGGAAAATGTTAATTTGTCAAAACCAAAAATTTTCAGCAAATATTTCATGACAATATATCTAGGAGGAAATTTTTTTCTGATTCAGAGTGGGGAAAATGGAAAATCTGAATCTATAGGAAACAGTGAAAATAAGCGCAAAAGCCCAGGAACTCTGTTGTAATAACACTTAAATAAGAAGGAGCTGAGGTTCAAGTCCTTATTTCAATGGTACTTGCATCATGCCTTGGCAGCTGAGTGCTGTAGTCAGTGGACTCAACCACTTGGAGGTATTCCTTACTGATCTTGACATATTTTAAAAGATTTAATTTTCCTTTTGATGCAGACTGAAACCAAATAAAGTCTTTCATTTTTTTGTGTGTTATTGTTTTGGGTTTTTTTTCTCTCTCTCTCTCTACAACATACAGTTCTTACTATATGTCTGTCCTGCTAGAAACATCTTAATTGGTATCTATTTTAATAAAGGAATAATAATACCACATTATACATTGGTTATCTATGTCTTTTATTAGAGAATTTTCTACCCTGCACCTGTGGGTGACATGCAACATAATACTGAGAGTGATGATTAATTTCAGGAAGATCCCCTTTGGTTACAGAGGGATAAAGAAAAAGTTTATTTAAGAAAAATCAAAAAGGATTTGGTAATCAAGAACACTTGGAAGTTATCCATCTACTGGATATATATAACATATGAGCAAATGGAAATTACTGAAATGTTTAAGTAATGCAATTCTATCCTCAATCTGAAGAGTCTCATTCTGTGTTAGTAAGGGAAGAGTGACAGAGCAAAAGTAATTCCCAGCATAGGAATGTGGGATTCTTGTGGTAAAGGATTAAGAATTGCATCATGTAAATTTAAGTCTAAACCAGAAAGTAAAGAGGAAAAATAAAACAAATAAACAAGCCCCAAAGCATAATTTTAACTTTTGTTTGGATCTAAATTCAGCTCTTAACCTTTTTGGATATATGGAAGTGAAAGCGATACATGTCACTTTGGGTGAAATAGCTGTCTCACATTAATAGCATCAATTTGGAACCTTTATAAATTATCCAGATCAAGTGAAAATGACAAACTATGTTGTAAACTGGTGGATATTACATCTTGCAAAATAATCTGGACTATACAAGAGCATTATTATTGTTATAAAATTACTTTGGTCCAGAAATGAGGTCTGATTAACATTTCATTTGGACACTGCACAATATGGCAGAGAGAAAAAAAAAAAAAATCCAAGAATATCAAGCCAATTATAGTGTTCACGTGCCATCAACTTTCTGCTCCAAGAACTTTGAAAGTTAAGCCAAACCAAACCAATGCAAATTGGTGGATTTGGACATCCTTTTCAAGACCACATTATCTTAGCTGGATTGTTAACAACTTATTTTGGAAATCCAATTAGGCACAAAAGAGGAAGAGAAAGAAAGATAGAGGGAAATATGTCTTTATAGTTCTAATATCCTGACTCAATGAACAATTTTCAAAGCAAATTCACTTTTAACGGCATCTCTATCATGAATAAAAACATCATTGCACTGCTGTCAGTGTTTCTTCATGGCAGGCTATAAATACTTAGGGAACAAGATGAAACAAAAGCCTTGCAGAGTTTCCTATCTGGTGCTGGAATTTAAGTACAGTGGTAAAGAACATTTCAGAAAAAATATTCATTGTAATGAAGTCCAACTGTTGTTCACTATAGGGTGACCTTCGTGTGTTTTGAAGTGGGGTTGAGCAGGGAAGAATCACTGGATCTTGCTTTAAAGAATATTTTATTTGCTTTATAGCCCAGTCTCCAACTATTTGTTTCGATGAGGAACCTGAGAACAGGATGGACCCACAATTAGAAATGATAACCAAAAGCATGATAATTACTTCAGTATTGTCACCCTGAATTTTAGAATGATGTAAGAAATGTAGGAGAAGGACTTATTCAAGAATACATCAGTTTAGCTGCCGAACTTAACACTAATTTTGACTATTTTAATTTAAAAATTTGTACAGGCACTCCTGATGAGAAAGTTAAAAAGCAACTGAACACAGGCTTGGTTGAGATTTGTGAACAGTAATGAATGTTATGTTCACTCCGCATAACTACGCAGAAGATGTTAGTAGAACACTTATTTAAGAACATTTCTTGCCCTCCTGCTTCTAGCCAAAATGGAAATAACCATGAACTCATGGCAGTGTCAGCTCCAGTAGCAGTTTGAGCTCGAACCAAGTATTGCAGAGAAACATTAAAAACACGGGGAAAAAATAGAGCTTAAGTGATACATTTATCCAAACATATGTTTTAAAATATTAGACTCTGATATGGGTTGAGGTAGTCCTAATGCTTTATGAATTGCCTTGAATGAAATGGTCTCATTAATTCTTTTCTGTTGCATAGAACAAATTCCTCTCCCAAATCACATTGTATTCTGCCTAAACTTAATCTGTAAAATTATCTTTAAACTGAATATAAAAGGAAATTCTCTATATGCAGGGGGAGGAGGGGTGGTGGTATACAGAAATTTCTCTCTCTATTTTTTAACAAGAATTTGAATCATACCATGTTAAACGGTACTAGGTAACTTCCTGCATAGAAAACCCATGAAACTTTCACAATTAATGGATCCTGAAATAGGTGTGGTCCCCAGGCCTGGTAGGAGTTTTGTAAAAGAAACCATCAGCTGGATTCAACAACAAAGTGAAGTACAAACTGGAAGAAAGGCATTCTTTAGTTAGTCCTTTCATTTAAAATCAGTTATGTTCAGGGCAAAAATATTGTATTTCAAAGGAGCCTATTATGCCTTCCCATAAACAGAAAGATCATACGTTTTAAAACTGAAGTATCATTATGTAATCAAGCTGTTGTATTATAAACTATTTTGTGGGCTCAGATGCCCAGGGCTATCTTTACAAATATTTAAGAGGTCATTATCAGGGTATGTTCTCCCTAAAACTATAATTCTTTCCTCCTGTTTTCATATGCATCTTACCATAAATATCTGATATATAAACAATCTTTTAAAAGTTTACTAAGGGCACAAAAGTGAGTCACGAAGTCATTTAAAAAGAAAAATACATGAATGTAGCAAATACACCAATGTCAAGATAATGTATCTGAGGAAAAAAAAAACCACCACAAAACAATGTGTAACAAAAATAAAGTTTCACAAAAGGATCCGTATTTGTACACCAGCAGAAAAAAATCAGGAAGAGTAGCAAAGAATAAATCTGACACATTAAAATTTTGCATGAAATGTAATGTATCTGAACAAGGTTACAAAAGATACCTGGAGTTTCAGGTGAATGTGGGAGCAAAAAAAAAACCAAAAAAGGTTTTGTCTGATGCCATGGAATTCAGAGGTGAAAATGATGAGAACAGTGAAACAAATTTGAGTTACAACACAAAGAGAAAATGAACATGGAGGCATTAATAGCCAACAAGGGACATGTGGATATAAAATGTGCGGTGCAGAGGTGGTTTGAGCTGAAGGTGTTTGAACTAGCAAAATTAGTACACAGCTTGATCAGCTCGGGTTCAAACAAGCACCAGCTCCTCCTGACTGTAAGGCTGTCTGCACTCAGCATGGTTTTCAGTGTTGTTGACATCTCTATCATGCTTTTTGGTGTGGTGTTGGGTGGGGTTAGGCGTGCCCTAAAGCTCCCAGAGCAGGGATGGAGGATTTGCTCTACTCTGCTGGAACAAAACTGCTGATTTGATTGTCACAACTACCCACTTCTTGTACTCCTCCCGTCAAAGGAACACATTTATGGGGCTCAGAACAACATCCCAGTTAACATCTGATATGAAAACAGGTCCCATCCCCAGTCCAGGGAAGGTAGTCAGCTAGCATGGAAGTGGGTGCCATACAAATGTCATGTTAGATAGTCCTACCAGGCAGACAAGGGTGAACAAAGCTAGGTGATCAAACAGTGGGTGATACTGGAATTTAGCCTGAAGTACAAAGAG